AATGGTTCCCAAGGCAGATTTGTCATCGTTGCAGTGATTCTCTCAACATAGTCATGTATGGACGGCCTTATAGCTGTAGTGACAGCCTAGTACTTAAATGTCGTGAAAGGTGGCTCAGTGAATAATATGGGATGAATGTAGCCACCACTATTAACTCAGAGAGTATGTCTACGCGTCAGAAAACACTTGTCTTGTTTCCTGACATACCTTGCCTTCTTGAAATTCTTGGGAAAGACTGACGAACTCAGACACTTGGGCAATGTGACGTCATTGACCTGGTAGGCTAGGGATGGAGAAACATATACAGAGTCGTATACTGGACTCTAACAAATTTGTATTTATCTCTAGACGGAAGGACACGTACTACCCATTTAACTGGCGCATTGACATAGTCTCTTTTAAAGAGGTTACCTTTAACTACAGTTTCTGTTGTTGGTCCTGATATCTCAATGGCAGAGAAGCTGAAGCGGGTCTTGTTGATATAATGACTTGGTGACTGACTCAATGTCACTCAAGATGGATTCTTGTGTGCTCGAGCACTGTCTCATCGTTACTGGTGTGCGGTTGTTGTGACGGGTTAATAAAATTTCATAGCCTTAATTTTTAAAGGGGTGGACGGGCAGATGACCAAAAACTCCAGTGGTGTGTCACCTTGCGACTAAGACCCGTGTTAGGAAACACTTATCCAGTTTCCTGACCAATCTTGCCTAGCCTGATCTGAGACAGGATGTGCAGCTCGTCTAAAGATTATACAACTCATCTTTGGGGAGGTAATGACGGGCGCGGATTTGCTTTGAAGAGGGACATCAGTGTTCCCGAGTTTACGTTTTTTTAGAATGCGCAAGCAGTTAGCTTAGTGCTTGAGCATTGTGCTCACAACCAAAAAATATCCTGGGTTTGAGTCCAGGACAAATTGTGAGGTCGTTCATTAGCAAGTCCGGGTTGTGGATCATAAGGTGCCTACTCTCCCGCTATAGAAGCTGATCCTGTTGAACAGGAACTTTCCCAGGGTAACTCACCTTGCCTACCTAATATTCCCTTGGAGCCTCCACAGTCTCCCATTAACTCTCACGAGCCTCTGCTACCTGTAACTGGGAATAGCATACCTCAGTTTTCTGATGATGACTCTAACGATTCTAATGAGTCTGTTAATATTACTACCTCTAGTGAAGATGATGGCATTTTTAATACACAAGCACCCACGCAAAAGTTCCCTCCTCCCCTTGACGAGTCCAGCAGGGATAGTGTGGATACAACACGTGACATTACCTGCAGGCGTTCAGACCGCAGTACACGAGCGAAGTGCAAGAAATAATGGGGATTACAATTTTCCAACTTAATGTTCAACATTTCTTTAATAACCGTTACCTTCTTGAGGTTGAACTACATAACTACAATCCCGATGTTATACTTTTGAACGAGACAGCTGCAATATATGATCAACATATTAAACTAACGTGGTTACTCACCCGTGGAGAAATCGAGAGGACCCTATTGTGGAGTAGCCATCTTAGTTAAATTAGGCTAACATTCAAAAATATTCATGATGAGAAGATAACATTCTTGCAATATAAATACGAACGTCTCATGGACAACTTAGTGATCGTAAACTTGGATATTTTCCCCCGAGACAACATACATAATGATCAAATTCCTCTACATAGGATATTAAGCAGGAATATTCCAACAATTCTAGCTGGAGATTTTAATGCTCATCACCCTGCCCTCTTCAACTGTGGAGCTGGTATTCCACTGGGTGACTTAAAAGGAAAACAACTCTTTAATATCATGACAGCTAGAAACTGTCATTTCAAGGCCCATTCTTTAAATCGTACATTGGACCTCATCCAGGGACACCAGATATAGTACTGACAAACAGAGACTGTGACATCTTCCACTGTCGTATATCTCCTGGTGGAAACGTAGGATCTGACAATATCCCTGTTATAATACAACTACAAACTTCTCCATTTAGAATACCTGTAACTCCTAAACCCAATCTTAACACCCTAGGATTTGACCCCTTCAGGGCATATCTGGGTGAGGATGAAATTGTGTCATTGGAAAATCTACCTTCCAATGCAATTGATGATGCAATCAGGTCCCTGCATAATCGAATAATTGAAGCTACTAATGCAACTTGTCAATTAGCTTCCACAAAGATATACCAACAATATAAACCTACTAGGGAAATTAGAGACAATTTAAGAAATTATCAAGCAGAATGTCGAAGGCATCTTCAAACGCGACAACCACCAGCAGCTACACTGCACCGATTAAGACAAGAATTAATTAACATGATTAGTCATCACAAACGGGACATATGGAAATTTCTAGTTCTTCAAGCTAATAAGTATAAACGGGAACCAGCAAAATTTTGGAGTAAGATCCGGCAACTTTTAGGGGCAAAGCACAAGGCTCCTAACTACCTAGTTCATACCTTCACTGATGAGGATGATGAAGATGTTGAAATTAAACTTGACGATCCACAGGACCAGGCTAATTTGATGGGTGATGTATGGGAGAAAATTCTCTCCCACAATAACAGTCGTCAATTTAATAATAATCATTATCAGTTGGTCAATGAATGGAGAGATGAGAACTTGGATGATCTACAACCACTACCTTCCATCGATACTTCAACTCTTGAAGATACCCACCCGCTTACTAGACCTATTACATTACTAGAGATAAGTCAGGTTATTGGAAGAATGAGAAATAGAGCCCCTGGCCTCTCTGGAATAACAATGAAACAAATAAAGTACCTACCTAGAAATTGTAAACAGTCTTTGGTAATTATCTTTAATGCCATCTTGGCCTCAGGACATTTTCCAGTTGTTTTTAAGACTGATATGATGATCTTTCTTGGTAAGCCCAATAAAGACATCCACCAACCTGGGAACTATCGACCTATATCTTTACTTGAAGTCACTGGAAAAGTTCTTGAGAAAGTCATTTCCAACAGATTGAACTACTATATGGAGTTTAATCACTTTTTTACTGAAAAACAATTTGGCTTTAGAACACATAGAGGTACCAATCATGCAATAAATGTTATTTTCGATACTGTAGCAAGTCTAAAACATCAGGGCAATCTTGCCTTAATTGCCACCAGAGATGTTCATAAAGCTTTTGATAGCTTATGGCATGATGGCCTTATATACAAACTCATTGACCTACCAGACCATATAATTTCTTAACTCAACGAAAAATCATTCCCACCTTTCATGGCAAGTCGACAGAGCCTTTTATACCAACAGCTGGTGTCCCACAAGGTTCTTGTCTAAGTCCAATTCTGTTCAACATTTATGTGAATGACCTTCCTCAACCAGAGTTTAATGATACAATTGTGACACAGTTTGCAGATGATGTTATTCATGTCGTCTCATCAACTCCGGTAACAGGAAAATACAAGTATGAGAGAGTCATAGAAAAAATGAATATTGAACTTCGTAGAACATCTAATTGGGAAAAGAAATGGAGAATTACGACTAATCCTGACAAGGTCCTTGTTAGCACGATAGGATGTTTTGCATCAACAATTGAAGATAAAGGGGGTATCTTTCCCTCAAGGTACACCTGTAGCCATTAAAACCCTAACAAGATTTTGGGATATGAAATAGACAGGCTGCTCCACTCAACATCTCATGTAACTAAAAAGATCGATATAGCCAAAGCCGGTCTTAGCAGTCTCTTTCGATTCAATCAAGCCCCTCAACATGTTAAAAAACATCTGTATAAAATGATAATAAGACCTATACTCGAATACCCTTGTGTCCCAATGTCCTTAACAACAAAGACCAACATGCTACGGTTACAAAGGGTCCAGAATAGAGCTCTTCGCTTTATTACCGATACCAGGAGGAGAGACAGAGTTAAAATGGCAGATTTACACATACAACAAGATATTACTGCCATAAATGTACGCCTTGACACCCTAAAAAAGAAACAACTTTATACAATGCAAGAACTATACATGCCAGATAGAGAACATCCTATACAAGTGGTAAATACCACAGATTATACAATCAATACTCCTCCTCACAGGACTCAAAGAATGACTCTCCCACAGAGGGTCCGTCGTTTTATTCTAAGATGATTACCCTCGACCCATGATATTGAGCAACCTCCCTGATGAAGAAGATTGGGTACCACCAGAACCCTTCTATGTATACTGAGAAAAATCATCGCCCCCAATTAGGGAGACATCTTATATAACTTTCTAATGTAAAAATTTTGCTATTTACTATGGCTGGACACCACATATAAGAAGCCATTGTCACGAAATTATAAACTGGCCAGAAAATTATTGCCCCTTCATTGTCGCATAAATATCCGTTGTGCAATCGCAAAAAAAAAAAAAAAAAAAAAAAAAAAGAGCAATTGCAACTTGTATAATTACTACCAATTCAGAGTCATGTACTTATATACCTATTATATCTATGTGACTCTGATGGGTTAGTATTATACCCCTTAAAGAATATCTTATCATTTCACATACTTTTTAAATTACACCAAAGTGGTTGGGCCACTTACCTTTTATATCCTACCTCTCCCCCCCTCCCACCCTTTTCCAATATTTCCATCCTTACCCATCCTTCTTCCTTACCCATCTTACCAAAGCTCTGGTCATAAGGAGAAGAAGAAGGAGTTTCTCATCCTGTAAAATGAACTATGAAAAATGAGACAAAGTTTCGGTTCACACTGGCTGCGCACTTATCAAGCTTACTTTAATATATAAGAGGGATTAAAATAAACTCTTTGAGGACGGTGAAGTGCTCTAGATCTAAGAAATTGAAGCTACTCTTCCCCTTCCTTAGATCAAAGCCTGATTGCCTCATTCCTTATGGGTTTAATAATAATAATAATACACAAATAGCCCGCATATAATGCTCATCATTCTGGTACAATATTCATGCTAAATAACACTCGCTTCTAACCCAAACGTTTTTTTATTTAGCGTAAAAGAATCATATAGAGCTGGCAATGAGAATCCAACGGAATCTTTATTAATTTATTTGCTTTCATATTTGTTAAACCTCAGAATATACAAAACACAAATTGACAGCCTCGGTATATATTTTACCTTTAGAGTTTCAAGCATTATCCAGTTGGTCAAGGCTAGCGTGATGAACGCAGGATAACATACAGCTCAACGTTAATGGTGAAATTTAACTTAGAGGTCATGAGTTCCCACATGACCTGTGCTCCATATTTCAGAAAGATTAACCCGAGCTCCATAAGCTTAAAGATAAATGCTCAAAATAACCCACATGAAGACAAACTCAGAAGATTGAGTGATCTGTATATCCTCTTCTGCTGAAGAGGATCCCAGAAGGTGATCAATTAATCTTGAGTTTCTGTCATGCGAGTTATTACTGAACATTGACAAGTGATCATTACACTTCAGTTAAAGGAAAATAATGAGAAGAATTACAATGAGCTGAATCCTTCACGTCAAGAAAGCACAATCAAAATACATTAAAAAAAACACACAGAAAAATTAATGAATTATGAGATGCAAGGCCCCTCAAGGGAGGTTCCTTGAACTGGTGCTCCATGTTCCTTGAATCAAGCCTGAATATTTAGCCTTCCATTCCCCGAAGCACAGTATGATCCCTATGGGTTTAGTGCTCCCCATGAATATAATAATTTTAATGAGATGCAAAAGGATTTACATAAGAATGGAGGGACACTGCAGCAGATCTACTGGCCCACAAAAAGCAAGTTCTCAAAACCAACCTTTCCCACCCACCTATTAGTCAAACCATTTCCCAAAGCTACCCAAGAATTTGCTTCAGAAGCTCAATAAAGATTCCTTAATAATGCAGTGTCTCATTCTTCAACTTATCGGTTTTCTAATACCACCTCAGGTACTAATCAATTCCAGCTCTTTTCACTCACATGAACATAAGAATGGCAGCATACAAGTGACCAGGAGTGGCTAAAAAAAAAGTTTAAATAATTGTGGAACACACTAATGGGAACGAGGGTTATCATGAAAATGTTTACCAGTGGTATTATATACCAACAAATGTCAACAACACATGAGGTTGTTCACACTTTATTGAAAAGACGTTTCGCCCACCAGGGACTTAATTCTTATCAGTGTAAAGAACTGATGAAGTCCCAGGTGGGCGAAACATCTTTCAATAAAATGCTACAAACTACATATTGTCTTAACATACAACTGCAATAATAGATACACAACTAACCCACACATTGGAGAATGAAACATGACGTCGTGTCATTCTCCCGCGTGTGGATTATTTGTGTATTGTTCTACGGTACTGTGCCTTATTCTTTGGAGTAACTGATTATATGAATAAGTTTTATGTAAGCTAGGAGTCGGATTTGTGACTTGCATTTTACAACTAACCCATTAAATGAAAGCTAAAACTTTTGTCATTTTGGTCTGTCTAGAATCTTGATGTTGCCTAGGCAAGGCTGAAATATCCAGTTTTCGTTACTAGTTTGTGGGTTAGTTTCGATGTGTATTTAGCACTAGCCAGGCTAGGCTGTGGATGGTCCTAGCAGATATGCATGTCAACGAAGTGTTGTTTGTTCTTGAATACGGGTCCCCACACGTCCTTCTGGCCTTGGTCCTTGCTCTTGTCCTTGTCCTTGTTTACAGTCGCACTCACGTTCTTAGGGGTCTGTACGTAGCCGCCTATCTCCATGGTTTTGTAGGCAGACTTTCTGTAGGACAGCAATTAGAATTTTTAAATTTTATTTTATCTAATAATTAAGCATCGTCCAAGTCCATAAGATTCTTCGTAAGTCAAGCTGTAAGTTAATTTACTAGAAAACGTATATTACAGATTATCATGAATTATAATATAATTTTATAAATGTTCGAGTGCAGGTTTATGTCAACTAGTGCTGAGTATGATAATGGGATACAGTACCGTCAAGGTGTTAAGACACATGTGCAACAGTTAGGTAACTATTCCGAAGGGCTTCCCCTACACAGCAGACGTCTTCAGTAGAGTACAGGGTAGACAGTAGAGATATAGAGACGTAGTCTATACACAAATAACCCGCACATAAAAGAGAGAAGCTTACGACGACGTTTCGGTCCGACTTGGACCATTGACAAAGTCTTCAAGGATGATGGGCTCATTACATCGTCTTTACATCTTTACTGCCTCCCCTGTACTGTCTGAAGAAGCCTACTCTGTAGGCGAAAGGTTTCGGAATAAAGTTTCCTAACTGTTACACATGTGTCTTACTTGCCAACTAGTGCTTATCGTTCACATGATAAATACTGGGTTCACAGTAAACTGTTCATATAGCACAAATGAAAACGTTAAAATATTTGCCGACTAACTTTGCGTGGTGATCAGCGACACATTTGGTGTGGTTGTAGCTCTGCTCTTGGACCATCTTGGCGGCGAGTGTTGTGAGCCGAGTGAACGTGAAACCACAAGCTTTTATATATGCTGCTGACGGCAGGATTTCACTCCTGATCAGGAGAATGATTGGCCCGAACTTACGAAGATTTCTATCGAAGCAGAACAGCCAGTTTTCTTTGAGGGACCTGCACATGGAGAGAGGATTTTATTAATAACTTGAAAAGGAAGAGGGTGTCATGCCTAGTCATCTGCGATCTAAGATTAGTTCAGAATTTCAACATCCTTACACCACTTTCAAAGTGAAAGAAACTTTACTTCATATATATTGCCATGATCACACTCCAACAGCAAGTCAAACCCCGTAGCCTATCCAGTTCCACCCACTGTATCTAACTCGCTTACAGTGTCAGAAGGATGTTCAAACCCTTTACATCTTTTTCATCTTTTCAACTCGTCCTCATGCATTCTAATCTTACTGGTTTATATAAACCCAAATTGGTTTATACAATCTTACAACAGTCTTTTATAAGGTCATCTCTACAGCCTCTTTTCGTGTTCATCTCACCTTTCATTCAAAAGCGTCTATTTTTCTTATTCCCTCTCCACTGCATAATATTCACACCAAATATTATTCCCATCGTCTCCAACATCTTTCTCGTTGCAATGGAAAAAGACGCAAAATGCAGTATAATGCGATCCTTTATTGCCTACGTTTCGCCCATAAAATGGGCTTTATCAAGTCACAAACTGATCTACCTGGGCAGAGTATATGAGTATTATATATGAGGTGGAGGGTCATGTACATTTTGCCCAGGAAATCTGTTTGTGGTTCGATAAAGCCCACTGTGTGGGAGAAACGTAGTCAATAAAGGATCGTACTATCCTGCATTTGTGTCTATTTTTCCATCGTGTCAGTATTTTATACCATTTATCTCCATTTGCTGCAATACTGAAAGAAGCTCCAATGCAACAGTATCGGAACTACTATGTTCCAACACTGACAAACGTTTGTCAACAGAACGCTCAACCTTCCTGCAACTTTCATCTTCTTTCATAAACCAATTTGTTGATCCAATAACTCCCCAAGTGTCCTAAGACACTTCTTTCAATAATTTTCCTCATGTTACACATTGAAAAAACTACCAAGCATTTTAAAGCGCTGTATCTACTCGAGTTTTGTATCTGTCTTCATATTATTTTAGAGTACCGATTTTTCCAATTTCATCCTTCTTACTGCTTCACTCACTTCCTTCATACTTTCTCCGGCTCTTCATTCATCCTAATAGACTTGTTTCCTCCTAATCCTGACAGAAACTTCTTGATTCTTTTCATCATCCAGACAACAGTTTTTCAAAATCATTCTCTCCATCTTTAATATCTCTTCCTACTTATGTATCCAACAGTGATTCTCGAGAGTGACAGATCCACTTGTGTTTTTATTTACACTCTCTCTGTTCAGCTCCATGTTATATGACGTCAAGATGGATAACTAACCTCAAGGAACGTTGTGAAGCTGAGAAAGTACGCTGAGTTCAAGCTGGTTACCACAATTGGCCAGGCGGCTGCCTCTGTTGCTAGCCAGGGTTGACTCCAATCTGCAGGGGGTAATAAAAAAAAGAGCTTAGATATAAATATAGTTTCTTAAAATGCTGAGCATACACACAACACACACACACACACACACACACACACACACACACACACACACACACACACACACACACACACACACACACAACACAACACAACACAACACAACACAACACACATACACACACACTCACACGCACACACACAACACACGCACACAACAAACCAACACACACAACTGCACCACACACGCACAACAGGCCCAGTGTCTACCGACAAGTGCCTTTGACAACTATTAACTACACACTATATATATATATATAATATATATTATATATATAATATATATATATATATATATATATAATATATATAATAATATATATATATAATAATATTATATATATATATAATATATATATATATATATATATATATATATATATATATATATATATATATATAATATATAATATATATATATATATATATATATATATATATATATATATATAATATATATATATATATATATATATATATATATATATATATATATATATATATATATATATATATATATATATATATATATATAATATTATATATATATATATATATATTATATATTATATATTTATATATTATATATATATATATATTATATATATATATATATAATATATTATATATATATATATATATATTATATATATATATATATAGTGTGTAGTTAATAGTTGTCAAAGGCACTTGTCGGTAGAAGGAATTTATTTATTTAAAGGGCAAGGCATTCCTGTCAGGAATAATATAAATCTATGGGGAATACTGAAAGAAGTAAAGCTAATATGTAAAGAAAAATGAAAGGTTTCTTGCCCATCCCGACTTCAAGTCTGCGACACACAAGACGTAATCCTGAGATATATATCCAGATGTACTGATGCTAACCCTTTTGAGGCATAGTTCCTAGGCCTATTGTGTTTCCATGTGCTCTTGCGCTACCCTTCATTGGAGGAACACGAAGTACACAATTAGTAATAATAAAATTACCGACAATATGTCAAGTAAATGGACACATGTGCAACTAATGTGGCATTTTATTGTGGTAACATTTCACTTTCCAGGAGCTTTGTAACTGTTTGCCAAATTTTTGGGAAAGCGAAACGTTGCCACAATAAAATGTTACAATTGCACTTGTGTCCTTTCACTGTAGACAATAAACTGGCCGCTTCGGCGACAAAATAAAAAATCTGACTCCGTGGTGTGACAAAGGATCTTGCTGAAAAATGGGCAGAAGCGGTTAAAAAAAGTTTATCCCACAAAGAAGGAATTGATAAACTGAGAAGATATCGGAATAATCATATATATTTCCAGGAATAAAAAATCTGACTTCATGAAGTGACAGAAAATCTTGCTGATCAATGGACGTTTATCCCACTACGAAGGAATTGAAAGATTGTGAAAATATTGTTTCGAATAAGTTACATATTTCCTGGAATCAACAGTGGATACGGCAGGTGTGTTGAGAGTGCAGAAGAGACCAATAATGGCGATAAAGGGGTAATATTTTTAATTAACATCGTTAGGTATACGGATAGCGGCGTAAGTAGCTGCAGGGTGGGCAAGGGCCGTGTTGGAGGTAGGTAGGGCCGTGTTGGAGGTAGGTAGGGCCGTGTTGGAGGTAGGTAGGGCCGTGTTGGAGGTAGGTAGGGCCGTGTTGGAGGTAGGTAGGGCCGTGTTGGAGGTAGGTAGGGCCGTGTTGGAGGTAGGTAGGGCCGTGTTGGAGGTAGGTAGGGCCGTGTTGGAGGTAGGTAGGGCCGTGTTGGAGGTAGGTAGGGCCGTGTTGGAGGTAGGTAGGGCCGTGTTGGAGGTAGGTAGGGCCGTGTTGGAGGTAGGTAGGGCCGTGTTGGAGGTGGGCAAGGACCGTGTTGGAGGTGGGCAAGGACCGTGTTGGAGGTGGTGTTGGATGTGGGTAGGGACGGTGATGTGAGTGGAGAGGGGCCTGGGATGGTACTGGGGAGGCCAGAGCCAGTTTATGATCACGTTGGAACCTCGTGATGGAGATGTGGGATTTAGCCTCGCTAGTCAACCTGACCCGCCGAGAGAGGTGCTGGAATGGCGGGGGAACTACTGGGGGTTGTTGGGGGGGGGAGCTGGTGTTGGTGCGGGAGCTGCTGGTGGAGGAACTGGTGGTGATGTATGTGGAGACATTATCTCCAACATGGGGCGAGAACAAGGGGGGTTAGGACCCCCTTCTATTCCTCACAGCATGTTGGAGATAATTTCTCCACAGAGTAAGTTTATTTAGGTACAGGTATACATAAAAAGTTATATTATCTAGGATAACCCCCCCAAAGTGACTTATTTCCATTAAAAGTGATGACTTCTTTTTTAATTAACGTCATTATGGACACGGACACTTGTTACCCAGCTTTTGAATACTCTCATCAGCTACTGGAGTTTCTTACATATAAACTGGAGTGTATTCTTACACAGGATATAACATTCCAGGTGCTGGAGTTGTCTTACATAATTTACACACTGTATAAGTTGTATCATGTATTTGTAGAAGTAAGGATTATTATTATTATCACATTTACCCCTGGATCCGACCGACAGCAATGGGCTGCTAGGTGGACAGAGGCAGATGGGGGTGAAGGGAAACTTGCCCATTTTTTTCCGTGCCAGAGAATCGAATTCGTGACCTTGGGTTATAGCAAGTCGAACGCTTTGGGAACGAACGATACCATGTTGGGAGTTTGCCAAGTGGGGATGGGGGGGTGAGGCCCTGGTGGGTGAGATAGGTCGTTTGATAAAAAAAAAATGGGGGGGGGGACTGCTTTCTTCAGTACTCTTCATATCCTCAATCTCTGTCTTGCCTGATCTGGGACTGGGCCGCGGGGGCGGTGACCCCCTGGGAAATGTCTTCAGGTTACTTTTTGGAAACATTCAGTAACTATTTGATTTTTAGGGGGGGGGGGAAATAATCTTAACCGTGATAAATGGTCTGAAAACCGACAAGTTGAAGATTGAGACACTTATTGGACTGAAGTAGCCACTGTGTGGCGAAACGTTTCTCTAATAGATTCCCATATGTTGCGTAAGTGTCTCACTCTGCAATCTTAGGCTCATTCAACAATACAACCAATTTATGTTTAAAACTATTTGTGTTCATTGAATCCTTTATATAGCTGTATAATAGACAAAACTGTGTAGAGAGCTTTAATAAAGCTCATCTTGTGACTTATGAACCAGCCACGGTATAGACCTCTTATTGTTCCAGGCACGGTATTGTGACTACTGTTCCAGCTACGGTATTGTGACTTTTATTATTCCAGTCACGGTATTGTGACCTTTTTTTTTTGTTGTTGTTGCAGCTACGGTACTGACTTTTTCTTATTCTTTGGCAAATTCTTGCTCTGACCTTGTAGAATGTTAGTTATATTGTGGTAAATACAATGCTGTCTCTCTCATTCTCATTCTGATGTAAACACTGACGAGAGGGGGGGGGAGAAAAGTCAGCTTTAACTACTGTGAAACAACATTAATTTTAGAGAGAAGTGAAAGGCAATAACAAGGAGGTACAGAGAGAAGGAAGGTAATAACGATGGAGACAGAAAGGAGGAACGTAGTAACACGGGAGTACAGAGGAACTCAATAATAATGAGGGTGAGGCAGTATAGTAGGGAATAAAGAGAGAATGGGCAGCAGACAAGAGTGGTGCGGGACCCGCCAGTTGGGGTATGAAGGATACCCTCCAGTGGGGTGATGTAGGACACCCCACCTGTGTTGGGCACGTGGGCAGCTCGTGATACATGGGGGTGGGGGGTGAAGGAGAGAGTAAACAGCCATGGCAACAGCCACCATTGACGTGCATGGATCATCAACCTCGCTACAATGAGGCTGCATTAAAATATCAAAATTATTCCCTAGGTCCTGGCCTAGGATATATGTAACAGCAAGAGCAGTGATGGGAAACATACTAACAGCAGCGAGTGAAAAATGGTTTGTACTAAAGGAAGAAAGACGAGATTGATGAAGATTTGAAGGCAGAGTTGAAGAAAAGTAAGTAAGTTTATTCAGGTATACACAAATACAGTTACATAGAACTATCATACATAGCAGCATGTGTGTAGAGAACCTAGGATAACCCAAAAAAGTCAGACAGAATTTCCTTCGCTGTTCTTCACGACGAATGTACAGTGGTCAGCGAGGAGAAAGTAAGTTTATTTAGGCACACCTACACAAGTACATAAATAGTGTAAAATACACAAATAACCCGCACCTAGGAGAGAGGAGCATACGACGATATTTCGGTTCGACTTGGACCATTTACAAGTCACCGAAACATCGCAATTAGCTTCTATGTGCAGGCTGTTTGTGTTACCTAGAATAACCCAAACGATTGTCCCTACAAATAAAGGTAAGAATATACTCACTGTCGGGGATTAACTATTTATATATTGAAAAAGCCCGTCAAGCGAAACCTCCCTAATTAATGACCTAATTCCGCATACTGAAGAAAACGTATCTCCAGTAAATGGATATGGGGTAAAACGTGTTCTGAGAATGGAGGACCACTTATAGATTTGATTTAGATTCAGTGAAAGAACTTGTAAAACATTGAAATAAAGAAGAGGATTAAGACGGTTAAGATGCGGGTGGGGAAAAAAAAAACTCCAGTCTGTGAAAGCGAATCTAACGCTCCTTCTGTAGTATAATTGGCCTCTGTCCAACCAGAAATATTATATAAATATTATATATTAGATAAAACTTGCTATTCTGGCTTTAATAGCAACGTTCTTCTTGTCGAATAAGGCAAACGAAAATTTGTGTATGCAATAATCTTGCAAAAAATCAGTCTGACTAACGAAAAAAATATATTTCATATTGATTATTCAATTATTGTAAACTTATCTAAAATATATTTAGTTGGATTAGGCTAAATTAAATTGCGCGTTATAATAATGTTAGGTAAGTTTTCTAAGGTTCTTTTGGTAGAAAATTATTTATTTTTACATTAACATCAATGAAAAAATATATCTTGGAATGTATAAGAGAAAATTTTAGAAAGGACTTAATTTTAATTTAAATGAGTTTTTGCCAACTGACCAATTTTACCTATTCGGCACGACATATATACCAAAATGCCACGATAACAGAGGCTTCTATCACTAAATATTTGAGCATTGTCAGACTTTATTTGCACCATCTACAAAGGGTTTTTTCCGTTGCAGTGTCCACAACGGAAATAAGTCACTGCCTTTTTTTTGGGGGTTACCCTTGGTAATTTACACTATGTATAATAATTGTGCTATACCTAAATAAGCTTAATTACAATGATTAACACATGTCTAAATTGCTTACCTCAGGCGAAGTGAAGGACCCTCTAAAGTGCCTCCCTTCATCTATGATGCTGGGGACGTTGCTGGAAAAACGGTGTTAAAAGCTTGGCGGACAAAGCTACGGTGAAGCGCCCGCCCGAGAGAACCAGCTTATATAGCCTCACCCACCATCACTACACCAATGACTTTTGCAACAGCCTTGGTGGGGATGGTGGGTACAGGAGTCTCCCTCTCTGCCCTGGTATCGGTGACAGACTCTCCCTAACTAGTTTTGGAAGGAATGTCTTCATTGTTTCTCTTCCACTGGGAATGCCAGTGGTTAGGACAGATGGATATTTAATTTCCTAAGAAACAGAACCCAAAGAGTAATTCAAATTCAATTCAAATTCAAAGTTTATTCTCTATAAGGATTACAATGCTGAGTTTACAGAAATTTGGTTATTGTTTGGTTTGCATGTAGTAAAATTGTGATTACAGAGTGTACCACTAGAACGCTTAGCATGGCTAGGCATTTCGGGCATACTTAGTTTTATTCTTAATTGTAAAATATTACATAGTATACATATGAAATCAGGAGCTGCTGCATTGAAAAGTTCTGTCCCCCAAGGCACGGTACTCGCCCCACTTCTCTTTCTCATTCTCATGTTTGAAACAGACAGGAATATAAATCTTAGTATTGTATCATTCTTTGCAGACTATACTAGAATTTGCTGGAAATTGGCATTCATAGAAGACACAATGAGTCTCCAAGTTGATATAAGCCAAGTCTTCCAGTGGGCCACTGACAACAGTATGGTATTCAAGGACAAATTTCAATTACTATATCACGGAAGAATGGAAGAAATAAAAAAAAAACCAAGATAGTACAAGACAATGAACCGCTCAATAGAACGCAAGTCAAATGAGAGAGACCTGGGAGTAATAATTTCAGATGTTACGTTCACTGAGCACAATGTTATTATCGCACTTGCAAGAAAATTGAAAGGTTGGATAGCTAGAACCTTCAAAACAAGAGATACCAAAAAATTATGACTCTTTAGGTCACTCGTTCTCTCTAGTCTGCAATATTGCTGTGTACTAACTGCCCCCTTCAAGGTAGGCGAAATTACTGAGCTGGAAAATGTACAGAGAACTTTCACAGCCTGTGCAACCTTAGTCAAGCACCTAAATTGTTGGAGCGCTTGAAGTTCCTAGAACTGTACGACTTAGAACACAGGCAAGAAATATACATCATAATTTACACTTGGAAAATGCTGGAGGGATTAGTTTGAAACCTGCACGACGAAATTATACTGATGAACACAAGAGGCTTGGCAGACGGTGCAGGATACCTTCAATGAAAAGCAGGGAAGCGATGAGTCGACTGAGAGAAAATTCAACGCCCTACATTCATGCATAAGGGGGATTACCAAGAACCCCCTCACACCCCCAAGCTGTCTTCGAGAAGGAGCTCAACAGTCGACAGATTCCTCAAAACAGTTCCTGATCAGTCGGACTGCTGGCGGTGGGCAGTAACAGCTTGATCAATGAGGCCAGCGACCAGAAAACCTGGTCCAGGACCGGGCCCTGGGGACGTTGACATCCAGAAGTGACTACAGGTAACTCCTTCATCAAGTTTTTTTTGCAGCTTATTTATTCTTATTGCAGGTTCATTTGCTACGAGTGAATTGAATTCATGAAGAACATAAGAATGGAGGCCTGGTCTTGGACCGGGCCGCGGAAGCGTTGATCCCCGGAATACCCTCCAGGTAGACACAGCAGAGGACCTACTGGCCCACTTCTGAAATCCACGATATCACTATCATCACAGAGCATACAAGAAAAACAATGTGTATCTTTTATTTATATTTTTTATTAACACACTGGCCTATTCCCACCAAGGCAGGGTGGCCCGAAAAAGAAAAACTTTCACCATCATTCACTCCATCACTGTCTTGCCAGAAGGGTGCTTTACACTACAGTTTTTAAACTGCAACATTAACACCCCTCCTTCAGAGTGCAGGCACTGTACTTCCCATCTCCAGGACTCAAGTCCGGCCTGCCGGTTTCCCTGAATCCCTTCATAAATGTTACTTTGCTCACACTCCAATATGTATCTATATGCACAAAACACATATGCTATACAATGTTGTATATTCATTGTTGCAATAGCTCCCCGGCAGGAGGGATGGAGGAGGGGAGTGGATTGTGTCTGCCTCTGCTGTTACTGAGGCGAGGAAAGGGGGGGGATGTGTCCACGTGGCCTAAGTGAGAACTTTCGTTCCCTTCCCTTTTAGAGACGTTTGTCCTGTTTTCCTTTCTCGATCGTATTAGGAAATTTTCCCTTTCCGGACACCAGTGTATACCTGGTAGGTGTTTGTATAGAGCAAGCTGTTATAAGCTGTATAAGTTGTATCATGTACTTGTAGAAATAAATATTATTATTACAACAACAACAACAACAACAATCACTTGGTCGACTAGTTTGAATATAAATATTGTACCTACCACCAATTCACTGTCATGAATCATGTATACATAAGTGTCTCTTTTGGGTGATGCGGTATACAGTCATCTGCTTATTATGCAAAACAACACAACAACAACAACAACAACAACAACAACAACAACAACAACAACAACAACAATAACAACACACACACACACACACACACACACACACACACACACACACACACACACACACACACACACACACACACACCTTATTAATATACACCAAAGTAGTTGGGCCACTTTTATTACCCCTCTCCTCACTCCCACCCACCGCTCCTTTATATTCCATCCTTATTCCTTCCCCAACTTACCAAATCTCTGGTTATAGTATTATTATAATCCAGTTAATACCGTACAACATGCCAGGGTTCATTTGCCGATATGATAGTGGCCTGCCGATGCTTACAAATATAAGAAACGTCCTCTCTGTATTTAAAACGTAAACATTAGCTCTCTTCCTATCATCTCCGTCTGTCAATACTGTCTGGTTTGTCTTTTCCAGCTAGGCCACTTATTCCTAACACACAAAATTCACTCATCCACCCATCTCAGAAATGTTTTTTGTTGTGTGTGTAGCTAAACAATGAATGCTTTTAATAACTTTTAAAGTGTAATCGTGATATTCATAAGTGCACGGAGAGAGGGATGGTTAATGTTTTTATAGCGACCCCCAGACGACGCCAGTCAGACGGGCCTCTCGCGACACCAGGACAACTGCTTTTGTAAGCTAACATTTAGATATTAAAGAAAATGGGATTCATCTGCTATTTGTTGCCGCCTTACAGTATGAGAGACAGTTACGTAGTGGGAACAGAAGCTAGCTTTGTTTGCCTGTCATGTCCCATCATACAGAATGGGTTTCGTACATGAAGTGATGAAATGTCAGCCTGTGAGACTTTAGTGGCGTTAGTCTCAGCTGGGAGACGTCAGTAGTGTCAGCCTGAGGTGGGAGACTTCAGTAGCGTCAGTCTCAGCTAGGAGACTTTGCGGATGTGCTTGTCCGATGACCTCTAATTAGAATTAATAGAAATTCTGCGACTTTCCTGACTATCGAGTACAACCTAACGTGACTTACCGGTACTATTCATCACTCTTTTTGCAGCGTTTGGCCAATGTGTACTTATGGGGACCCGTGTACTTATGTACGAATGGAGACCCGTGTACTTATGTACGAATGGAGACCCGTGTACGTATGTACGAGTGGGAGACCCGTGTTGATGTCTTCTTTGAACAACTGAAGTTCTCGTTCTCTGTGTTCACTGTTCGTCGTCCTGGTAAGCTTGGATCACTGCAGTGCACTGTCTGATGTCTGCCCTGTGTGATGGTATGTGATAGGGAAATATAACTAGGTTGTGTTCCAGTTGTGTAACTAACGTATAAAATAGGATACAGCACATTGATGATGAATCCAATTTTGTTAAGTATGAAAAATAATCTCTTCATTACCTTCCTTCCCTCCCTCTCTTATTATCTTTCTACTTTATTCCCTTATTACCTTCCTTTTTAATTAGGTTCCTTTCTCTCTCCCTTATTACCTTCTCTATAACCTTCCCTCTTTTTCACATTACCTTCCTCCCTCCCTTCTACGTTACCTTACTCCCTTCCTTATTACCTCCCTCCCAGTAACCTTCCTCTCTCTCTTCCTTATAACCTCCCTTCCAGTAACCTTCCTCTCTCTCTCTCTCTCTCTCTCTCTCTCTCTCTCTCTCTCTCTCTCTCTCTCTCTCTCTCTCTCTCTCTCTCTCTCTCTCTCTCTCTCTCTCTCTCTCTCTCTCTCTCCCTCTCTCTCTCCTCTCTCTATTTATCTATCTATGCAATAAGATCTATCTCTTCCTTATTACCTCCCTCCCAGTAACCTTCCCCTCTCTCTCTTCCTTATTACCTCCCTCCCAGTAACCTTCCTCTCTCTCTCTCTTCCTTATTACCACCCTCCCAGTAATCTTATTCTCTCTCTCTCTCTTCCATATTACCTCCCTTCCTTCCGTCCGAGTACTGGTAGCCACGAGAACATCACATGTACCCAGGAGTTGGTCTTCATACATAACAAGGTGTGTCCTTGAGTCTCTGACATCAGTAGTCTTGTTACAACTTCCTCTAAGACTGTGAGTTGTGGAGAAAATTATCTCCAAAAGGGGTCTGAGCTCCCTCTCTCTACATTCTGAAACTGGCAGTGCAGGTGCCGTCTATGGGGGGGTCACGACCCCTCCTTTCCATTAGTAGAGATGAAGGAAGATCTTGGGTCATTGTGTGTGTGATGCTCTGCTTACTCTCTTCGTTATCCTATATTTATTTTTGTCTCTTTTAATTCTAAACATTAATGAGGTTTTTATTTTTTTTGGTGGGTTTGCTTCCTTCTCGTTCTTCTGCTTTTTCTGTTTTCGTCGTTTTTCAATATTTCTCTTTCTCTTTTATTTTTTTTCTGTTTGAGTTTTTTCTTTAGCCTTTTTTTTCCTTATTTTTATGATTTTTATGTTTTCTAAGTTTTAATAGGTATTATTTTTTTTCCTTACTGTTTTCATTTTGTTGTTTTCCATAGTCTTCAAAATTTGGAAACTGGTGACTCGGAATTTTGGCATGTGTGAGTTTGCGAGAGAGGTCAGTGTACTCCCCTGACAACACTATCATATACAAGTTTACTGAGTACTTGACGCTCTAGAATCTAGATCTTGTTTACTAGAGTGCATTCACACGTCCTCTAGCAAAAACATTTGCATATTTTTGTGCGCTTGTCGTTTTTTTTCTTTTTTCTTTATTCGTTTAAACGCATTCTCCCTGCTTTCTCTTCCCCGTCTTGCTATTTTGAAGCCTCCTCTGACAATACGAAAGCCATGAATAACACTTGGGTAAGAGTAAGGTTAAATATTTAATTAGTAGTGAGGTGAGGACCAGTGTTTTGCCTTGGAACGCACAGGGACCACAGCAAGATTCTAATCACGGCCGCAGAACAGCTAATTAGATCGACTTCTTCGAGATCGTCAGATAACGAAAACCCGTGTCAGGACGCAGTTCCTGACGAATCAAATAAACAGCAAAAGAGGACCAATCTCACTTCCTGCCAGACCTTGGTCACGTGACGGTGGTGAGGGGACGCCGTCTGGGTCCCTAATGAGGGGCCCTCCTCTAGGTGAGTTGTTTAGAACATAAAAAGGAGGAATACTGCATCAGACGAAGGCTTTGTCACTGGTAGGCAGGATTCCCCAGTGGAATCATTAACCCTAAATTTTTTTTAACGCAGGAAAATCTAGGATAAGCCTGCAAAAGTCAAACAGCGAACTATATTCCTAAGAGGTCCTTGGATCATCTTTCCCAGGATACCACTCACAGCACTTGCTACCAGATGTATATCATCGGCAGCATGTCGCTGAGAGACACTGTGCGGTCTATTCCTTTTATTAAGACGACGTTTCATTGGTTCCTCCCCGGATGCTTCAGTGCTCAGCAGAGCTCCTAGCGAGAGGCTGATGCTCCCACTGACCTTACAGTGAGAGCTAGAGGAGGCTGTGTCCTGCACCACTGTTGCCAAGTTTTGTCCTACATTCTCTCTTCCTATACCTCCCCACTATGACATCTGTACTTATTTTCCTCTCTCTCTCTCTCTCTCTCTCTCTCTCTCTCTCTCTCTCTCTCTCTCTCTCTCTCTCTCTCTCTCTCTCTCTCTCTCTCTCTCTCTCTCTCTCTCAGTCAAGAACAGGGTGGAAGTTGTCCAGAGAACAGTGAGTTGCATCTGGTTCTGAATAAAACAAGGAAGCCTCGTATAAGGAAGCCCCTTATAAGGATGCCTCTTCTGTGGTATATACGCCGAGAGATGTATATACTACAGAGGCGTGTATACACCGACAGCATACTTTAATCCATTTTTTAGATTAAAACATTCTCTGTTATTGTACCGGTGACTTGCAACCTTAATGTCTCACGTGGATTCGATAAATAAGTTTATTTAGGTACAATTACACATAAGTACAATTATCATACATAGTGGAAATTACCCAGGTTAACCCCCCCCCCCAAAAAAAAAAAAGTCAGACAAGGTGATTTATTTTCATTGCGTCCCTGACTTATTCCTTAAATGAACAACACTCCTGAGTGACAAGCTTTACTCATCCCGGAAACAGAAATCAGCTGACACTGGCAACTTTTTTTTTTTTTGTGTATGTATGGTATACAATACCGACAAGATGAAAAATTAGACACATGGGTAATATCTGGGTATCTTTATTTGTAGACGTTTTGCCATCCATTGGCTTTATCAATACAAATTCAAGGACGTAATTGGAAGACTGTAGAACTATGTACAAAAGATGAGATAATCAGGCCTTGAAGGACTGATTATCTCATGGACTGAAAAAAAGGTAATCTGTCCCTCAGCTGAGGGACTTATTACCTCATCTTCTGTATATAATTCTACTGTCTTTCAATTATGTCCTTGAATTTGTACTGGTAAAGCCACTGGATGGCGAAACGTCTACAATACAGATACCCAGATATTTCACAAGTGTCAATTCTTCAGCATTTTGTTTTGTTAACGAAACAGCTGATCCAAGCATCTCGTTGCCATGATGACGTTTGTAAACAATACGTTCTGGTTACCATAGCAACAGGCACTGCTGCAGACGCCGTCTTGCCAGCACAGGAGCAGATGATGGGGGCCTGTGTGTGTGTATAAAATATATATATATGTGATTTATATTTACGTGAGGCGATAGAAACTGTGGTGGAGGCTCGATCCTCCGTCACCACATGCTGGGTTCCTGACTCTCCTCTGCTGCAATTAATTTGAGGTGAATAGATTAATAACCCTACGTTCACGGGGAAGCGATAAATTCGTAGGGGGTCAAAGTGAGCTAGTCTTGTTTAATCTATAAGGAAGGTAAGCTCAGTTATATTCTAAAATTGATGACTGGTTTAGAAAACGTTTCGGTCTTGGGACCATGACTTTTTTAAAACAGAATGGTTTTTTTTTTGATTGACTAGGTATTCTGCCTGGTGGCTGAACGTGAATGGTATACAACACCGACAAGACGAAGAATTAGACACATGTACAACATCTGGGTATCTTCATTTGTAGACGTTTCGCCCTCCAGCCTTGAGGCTGAGGGGCTGATTACCTCAACTTTTTTTAAATATTTCTATAGTCTTCACATTATGTCCTTCTACTGATAAAGCTACTGGATGGCGAAACGTCTACAAATAAAGATACCCAGATGTTGCACATGTACAGAAGGGGATCTACTACGAAATTAATGAAGCTTGAGGGCCCTTAATGCCGAAGGGGCCCCAGAAACCACTTTAGTCCACATTCCTTAAAAGTTCTGGGTCTAGTGTATGAAATTTTTTAAATAATAATAATAATAATAATAATAATGTTTAATTCAGTTTAGATTAATAGTCAAAATAAAAAATTAAAAGGCTATTATAGTATCATGTAGGCCTATTAGTTGCTGGTTGTGAAGGGGCCCCATAACAGTTCAAGTTTCAGGTCCCCAAAAATGTAGGTCCGCCACAGCACATGTGTTTAATTCTTCATCATTATGCCTGGTAACTTCTTGTTTTATCACTGATGATGAAGCTTGATGCTACGAAACGTCTGGATGATGAATGAGGTTGTTTTAATATTCAGCGAGGATGTTTACCACGGCTTTGACATTGCTGTGTTTTATCTGTCTGGGATGACTGCGAGGAGGATATGTTTCTAAAGTTATTGTTGTCATTTTTAGTGTTAAATTGGTATAGCTGTCACTGTTTAGTTACATTTAATAGTTTATGTATGTGGTTAACTTTCTTGCATAGTGCAAACTGAGGGTGAAACTGAGGGGAAGGCATAGATAGGGATTTTGAGGGGAAAAGTGAGAAAAAAGACTGAGAGCCACTGGAGTAGAGCTGAACAAAGGTATACACGGGGGTAAAATGTTGTTATAATTTAGATTTGCTCTTCACTTGCGTGTGTGTGTGTGTGTGTGTACTCACCTAGTTGAGGTTGCGGGGGTCGAGTCCGAGCTCCTGGTGTGTGTGTGTGTGTGTGTGTATTCATCAATTTGTTGTTGCAGGAGTCGATTCACAGCCCCTGGCTCGCTACTTCGTGTGTGTGTATGTAGAGCGTCTCTCACCATTAACAGACGGAGGATCGAGCCTTCTCCTGTCCTAGCGCTGCATCATGTACATCTTTTTAAGGCTTCACAACAGCAAATAAAATGAATCTGCAGTTGTGGTTTTCAAACGAACTAATGTATAGCGTTTCTGAATTCACGCAGGGAACGTACCAGCTACCCAATAATACACAATTTTTGCCCTTAAGCTTGGCGCTAAAGGGGCTACTGTTCCATCAAATTTATTTTGTCGTAACCTTTCCCAACTTAAATGTGACAATATGTTCTTGTCATGCGCCGGCAGATGGACGTGCGTGTGGCGCCCCACACCCCGGCCCTCAGGAGGTCGTCACGGGGAGACGACAGCACCGTCAGTAGCGGAAGCGACAGCAGGTCCCGCCGCTCCGCATCGCGAGGCGTGTCGCCCCCCGCAGCCTCCAGGGCACCGCCGCCCACCCTCACACTGCACCTCAGTGTAAGTCAGCGCTATCCTTGCCTATTAAGGCTGTTCCTTCGTGGCCTTCTTATGGCTGTTTTTGGCATTTTATGACTGTGCCTGACCCTCCTAACGCTGTTCTTAACCTTAAGGTTGTTCCTGAGACTCTTAAGAATGCTCAAGATCACGAGAGTATAGGGGAATAGGCTGGCGAGAGGAAAAGTTGTAAGAATGTTGCTGATTCTCTTAAGGTTGTTCTCTTTCCCTAGGCCACTGTGGTCAGAGTGGCCTGAGAAAGAATTATTGCAGAGCACCAGTATCAAGGCACCAACCATCAAGGGAGATGCCTAGATGTTGGTGATGGGCTCTTGATACAAGAAATTGGTCTTGTTCTCCATGAATCGAACTTGCTTGCTTCCTGTTACCCCTGCAGAGTTAGCGCTTACCTCTACATTTAATAATAATAATAATAATAATAATAATAATAATAATAATAATAATGATAATAATAATAATAATAATAATAATAATATAATGGTGGTAGACCTCTTAAAGGTGTTGATCTCCAGCTCCTGGATCTCTTGGAAGGGATGAACTGCAACCTCTACTGTCTCTTAAGAATTTTAATATACAAATGCTATGTATCTTCCGTGCATTAAGGTGCAGGAATCCAGGGATGTGGGATACAGGAGATACTTTTCTGGGATCACCCAGTGACAGATGCATATCTATTATTACATTTAGCTTTTTATTTAGTCTTTTGGTACATATACAATTCTTATAGCATAGGCTATATAGCACATAAATGTGTTGGGCATATAAAAAGTACATTAAGCAAATTTAATCTAGCCCACGGTACGGGTGACCCAATAAAGTCAATGAAATTTATTTACATTGGAGTCTTTAAGTCTAATGGGACGTCATACAGCATCAATTTCTTTCCATGTGCAGGACTCAGCTGTGCGGCATGGAGGGCAGTACCCGCGAGGCAGTGGCACATCTGGTGAAGGTGGGGGTGCAGGCAGAACAGCAGGAGACGGCAGGATGCGTGGGGGAGCCAAGCGTGGCAGGAAGTCCAGCAGAGGCAGCTCCTCCCAGGACACAGGCGACCACACCCGCCTCCTTCCATCACGATCTCGCATGGTGCGTCCTAACGCATGATTTTCTTTATAAAAATGCTAAGCCGGCGTGGATCATTCGTTTGCGAGTGACTCACGAAATCGTAATAACAGGATTGCAAACACTCCACGGAACGGATGGGGTTAGAACCCATGGAGGGTGAATCGTAACACTCCAGGCCAGTGCGTAAGAAAGCAGGCCTAGTGGCTTACGCACTGGCCTGGAGTTTTATGATTCACTCGCCATGGGTTTTAACCCCACCTGTTCCGTTAGTTACATACAGCCATAATGGCCAAATATTACAGCCCGGATAATTGGTGTCTTATTGGTGATATCAACGCAATCCGCGGCTGTTTCAGTTGACAGAAATTACTATCTTTACTGCCGCATCCTGATCTACAAGTATCGCTACATGTCACTCGGCTATTTGTTGCTACTAGAACAGAGCTAGGCTCGTTGTATCATCTCTTCGGCATTTAATGCATCGTAGTTTTTTCCCCCTAGTCTTCTCTTGTAAACGATTTCCTTGTTCTACCACACTGCGAAGATAAACTCTAGTATTTTTTCATCTCAGTTCCTTCACTTCTTCAGAAACAGATTGTGTTAATAGTGTGTTAGATTTAAAACGTACTGACTGCTCGAATACTCACCTGGCGAATACTTTAATACCTAAAACAGGGATTAAAATATATTCTCTATTCACATACACCTCACGGTGTATATATACACACCGAGGTATACACATCTATCATAAATTATGTTCCCAAAGGCAACGTTAGACCCAACGATGATATATATATATATATATATATATATTATATATATATATATATATATATATATATATAATATATATATATATATATATATATATATATATATATATATGTGTGTGTGTGTGTGTGTGTGTGTGTGTATGTGTGTGTGTGTGTGTGTGTGTGTGTGTGTGTGTGTGTGTGTGTGTGTGTGTGTGTGTGTGTGTGTGTGTGTGTGTACTCACCTAATTGTGGTTGCAGGGGTCAAGGCTCAGCTCCTGGCCCCTGTGTGTGTATGTATGTGTGTGTGTGTGTGTACTCACCTAGTTGTACTCACCTAGTTGAGGTTGCAGGGGTCGATCCGAGCTCCTGGCCCCGCCTCTTCACTGATCGCTGTGTGTGTGTGTGTGTATGTATGTGTTTGTATGTGTGTACTCACCTAGTTGAGGTTGCAGGGGTCGAGTCCAAGCTCGTGTGTGTGTGTGTACTCACCTAATTGTAGTTGCAGGGGTCGAGACTCAGCTCCTGGCCCCGCCTCTTCACTGAACGCTACTAGGTCCTCTCTCACCCTGCTCCATGAGTTTTATCATACCTCGTCTTAAAGCTATGTATGGTTCCTGCCTCCACTACATCGCTCGCCAGACTATATGTGTATTTGTGTTGCCCATACACCATCACTGCCTAACTTACAATATGAAGAGAAATTGTATGAAATACCTAAACGACAGGAAGAGGAAATTATAGACGATGTGTCGGTAGTAATAGGAAGAGGAAATTATAAACATGTTCGGTCGTAATGTGAAGAGAAAATTATGAACGATAGTTCAGTCGTGGAAACGTTATTTTAACGTTATCTATCCAAATGGTGGTGTGGAAATTATTTTGGAGTCAAAAATATTCCACGGAAAATGTTTATAGTGTAAGCATAAGCAGCCTGGTCACAGACCGGGCCGCGGGGGCGTTGACCCCCGGAACTCTCTCCAGGTAAACTCCAGGTAAGCCCTTTAATATAACCGCTTACATAAACACTTGTATATAATATTTGACATTTTAGACAGATTTAAGTAGTTACACAGAGTATACAATAATCTTAGGAAACAACATCGTTATAAGACCTAGAATAGTTAGAAATAGGTCAAAATACAATAGTATAGATAGTAGCCAGTGTTTCAAAAATTCAATCTGAGATCAGGAGAAACGCTGGTTAGTCAGTCAAAATTCACTCGTCGAGAAGATCAATGTGTGACCTAGAGTAGCCAGAACACCGGCAATTATTACTAAGGAAGAGGAACTTTTTGCCATCGAAGCTTCCTCAAACCCCGAGGATAACTGTTAATATCCTTTCAAGCCCCAGCGGACCGGGATCACGTTTTATTCAGCATTACTGGCCAGTTTTACTGTTGAAGTGTGGAACATGGACGTCCTGGGAGATTTTTGGTGGAGGAGCAACATCGTAACCCGTCAATTTTTGAGATATCGAGTAAGGAAGTGAAGCTCTCCCTCTATTTCAAGTAAGTAGAGTTGCCGTGTACTATTAGGAAACAAACAAAATTCTTTTGGATATCTCTTGTATGAGCCACTGGTGTGCCTGAGTTGATATCTCGGGATATTTGTGTCAACAGTTTTAGCTAGATTAGCTGCACATTAGGAGGCAGTACGCGGAATAATCCCAATAAGTGAGTGAACTGGCTGTTCTTCCAGCCACCTTAGTAAGTTTACTAAGTTAGTGGATAGACAGTATCCGTTCAGGGAGGTACTATTGTAGAACGAGTGCTCTTGTAGTCTTAAGTTAGGCTAAGCTTGTCACACATGCTCTGCATAACCATGGGCTTTCTACATACATTATCAAGTGTCACACATTTCTGTATAAACAACGTATCACGTGGAAGTAAACTGATTTGGAATTTGAGTGCGAAATGGGAACCTGATTTCATGTTTGCGCTATGGCAGGATGTGGGGAAGATGATCCCCAGAACCAGATAACAGATATATATAACGTTAGTGTGACTCTTATTCTCCCCATTTTATATTCCCCATTCGTTTCCTATGTTGACAGCCAGCATTCCGCCTGCCGGGTTTTAGCGTGCAAGACCAGGAACGACAGCAGCATCGTCGTCGTCTGGAAGCTCTCTCTCAGCTGGGTCTTCACACTGCCTCCGACCTAGCACTTCACAGGATGCTCCCATCACCCTTCCATATAGGTACGTGCAGACTACCTGTGGAGTAGGTACCCCTGCACCAGGGGGCTGCGCCAAGGCAGGGCTGGGGGAAGGGGCTGAAGCCTTCCAATAAAATGCCCCTTAGCCCCCATAAATAAAATTAGCAATATTAATAACGCTGCTTCAAAATAAGTGTCCTAACCACCCTCAACCAGACAGCAACTCCCAAAGTCCCAAAGCATAGACATTCTGATGTCCTCCCTGATGAAGAAGATTGGGTAACACCAGAACCATTCTATGTATACTGAGTACATCATCGCCCCCAATTAGGGAGACATCTTATATAACAACCTAATGTAAAAATTATGCTGTTTACTATGGCTGGACACCACCTGTAAGCAGCCATTGTCACGGAATTCTATAAACTGGCCAGAAAATTATTGCCTTCGTTGTCGCATAAATATCCGTTGTGCAATCGCAAAAAAAAAAAATTAATACCAATTCAGAGTCATGTACTTATATTGTTATATCTATGTGACTCTGATGGGTTAGTCTTATACCTCTTAAAGAATATCTTATCATTTCACGTACACTTTTTAAATTACACCAAAGTGGTTGGGCCACTTACGTTTTATATCCTACCTCTCTCCCCCCTCCCACCCTTTTCAAAAATTTCTATCCTTACCCATCCTTCTTCCTTACCCATCTCACCAAAGGTCTGGTCTGGATACCGAAGACATTCTGTCTCGGCCCCAGCTTAGCAACCACTCTTGGATCATCATTGCTCTTAGATCAGACAGAACTTATTGACTCCTGGTTAAGATATTAGACGACAGAAACGAACCCACATAACCTTTTTGTTTCCGAAGTGGATGAGCTACTTATCTCTTGTCTACCATTTTCCTATATACCCCATATCTAATCCTGTGATTCACTACCACATAGTGATCTTTTGCTTCTTAAAGTTAGTGCGAAACCTAGATGGGGTAGGCTAGCGGATGCCGTAACGAGTCACTGTATTAAGAACCGTGTCAGTAGACACTTATTTTTCTGACGAATACACCACCATGCCATTTACCCACCAACTCCCTTTTCATCCTATGCCCAACTTTCCTTCCTCCCTTCTGACCAATTCCTCGGGCCAACAGATTAGATTATCGTCTCTACGTGAGTTCGTTTGTGCCATGAAGTTTGCATTATGCTGTGTGTTCTCGCTTTTTTATTTTTGCTGGCGATTTCAACGTCGGTTATCCATCACCTGACTAACACCGACTTGCAAAATCTGTTTTCAGGGAAAATCTTTAAAAATTCCCAGTTATTATACAGGGGAAGTTTGAGGCGTTTTTCTGACAAGTATGAAATTTTAGTTTCAGTATGCATATAAATGACTAAGTTGATGTCCCAACGAGGATAAATAATACGACTCTATTAGGATTATTAACCTGGATGGTTACCAACCCAAGATAACTCAAGAAAGCCAGTCATTGTGCTTTTTTCCAGTAGATTCCTGTACCCCCTTTACCCCAGGATGCCACCAACGACAGCTCAGCTAACAACCGTAGGGGTTCGCAGTTCCTGGGGAATGGGAGGTAAACAAGCCTGGTCTATGGTAGGGAAACTTATCTCCAATTTCTTTAATCAAGAGTCCTCCATGTTCATCAAGGTCCCACCCCCTCCCTCAGAGGGGTAAACTTTCAGTTGATTTGTAAATAAGACTAGTAAGATTAAATAAGATTAATGAATTAGATTAGTAAATAAGATTAGTATATAGGATTAGTAAATACGTATGATTAGTATATAAGATTAGTAAATGTGATTGGTAAACAAGATTAATAAACGAGATTAGTACACAGGATTAGTAAATGAGATTAGTAGGCTCGACCCTCCGTCCAGTAGGCTCTAGACAGACACGTTGACCAACAACACTAACCTGCTGTATAGAATTTAGAAAAATAAAGCGGCATATTGTGACGTACAGTAACCTCTTTTACAGAACTGTATATAGTGCGTTTTTGTTTTGTTTTGCAAACGCTGTTGGGAATGTGTATCCAAAATTTAAGAGCACGTACTATGAAGGCTCCATGATAGGCTTTTCAATTTTGAATGCAATTTTTCAGTCGCATCTGCAAAAAAAAAAAATCGCCCTCTGTAGAGGATATTCTTGTATGTTCAGCGTTTAATAATAATAATATAATATAATAATAATAATAAAAATAATTAATAATAATAATAATAATAATAATAATAATAATAATAATAATAATAATAATAATAATAATAATAATAATAATAATAATAATAATAATAATAATAATAGGAGATTTATAAGAGCTTACTGTTTGAATTACAAATCTCAAACTTTTCCTCAGCAATGAAGGGGTCGCCTAGGACGAGTGGGGCTACAGCCTCGCGCCGCGATATGCATCGTGGAAACAGCTACCACCTCGTCGGTAATAACCTTCCAGTGGTAGCGCCACCCGGCGGGAACGAGAGAGACTACCTTCCACAGCAGCAGAAGCAGCCACAGGTCTCCAGCGAGGAGTCGTCTACACTTGGACGACCACTGAGCACTAGGGAACTCATGAGGAAGGTGAAGCGTCACCAGTCAGCCATCAGGAGGGAGAGACGACGCTTTATAGCCGGGGCTGAGAGACCTCCAGTG